TTTACGAAAAACTTGAATAACTGGGCCAAAAATGTTCTGATTTAGACTTGTGGGATCTCAGTAGAGAGGTATTTTCACACTGTTTTTATTTCTGGCCAAAAAGACGTCATTCGTGTCCCATCTTGTTTTTTCGAATACCAACACATCATAATTTAACTTTGAATGACGTTCGTTCATCCTACCTTTCTCTTAAATCCTTTGAATGAGTTTATTAGCAAAAAATAAAAAGAGCGAGAAAATACCATTCCAATGACACCTCTTAAGTCTAAATCGGAAGAGCTTGGGTTCAGTTATTCAAGTTTTTCTTATACCAATCTTTGAAAAAAGTTAAAAAACAGCATCAAAAATCTCATCATTACGATTCCGTAAAAATTTTTTTTTTAATTTTTTTTTAATATTTTTATGCAGATATTTTAAGCATAAACTGTTTTGTCATTTGAGGGGATTTTTACAAAAAAAATCTTTAAGAAACTATTTTTATTCATAAAAAACTCCATTTTTGGAGGTATTTTCAAATCGGTCCAGCTCACTTAAATATTAATATTTTTCCGAAATATTTTGGTGGACGTCTTAAAATGTAATAGATTTTATAATTCCAGTGGAAAAATAGTACCGATTTTTTTTTGTATGGCGAGTGATGCAGTCTAATGTACATACATGCATACCTAGTACGTACCACTAGGTACGTGTATAGATACATATGTAGGTACGCAACTAACGACCTATTTGCATACAGCTATATTTTTCGTTTCTTATACTTTTTTCATCATTCACATACATAGTTAAATATTAAAAAAAAAAAAAATAAGTAAAATTTTAATGTCCAGAAATTAAGTTCATAAAGCGAAGTAGCTTGAAGTTTTGTCTTAGTTACCCTGTTCAAATAGTTCGTTAATCACAAAGCTTTTAAATCTACCATAATTCTTTGGTTTCTAATCAATCTGCCCGTTTTCCTCAACACGCGTACCTTTATCATTTTACTTAACTATTTAAGAGATTTTTATTTATGCAAATAATGCCAGCCGAGCGAATACTTCATGGGTTTGATGCTTTCAAAAAAGAAGAGAGAGAGAATTTTACCCTTCCCGAAAGTATTCTTCAAAGTTGGCACTACAATAGTGATGTCAGTGGCATCGAAATACATCGATGTATTTCTTCGATTCGATACATCGAAAAGTGCATCGATTTGCGAGTTTTCTCTATTTTCCCTTTCCTCCTATCATGACTAAAAATTCCCCCGAGGATTTTTTATATTAAATGGCGGAGTTGAGCTGTCAAAAAAAAGTGTCAAACAGCTCTCTCAAAGTTCGAATTTCCTCCTCCCGAATTTTCGGGGGAAATGCTACCTCCTGGGAGTTAATTATTGGGGGATTTCTTTCTCGGAAGAAACAAATTCCCGGAGAACAAACTCCCTGGGAGTATTCAGAATTGGGCTGTATGTGTCTAACGGAACTTTTTAGTTCCATTTCAATTTTTTTTTCCAAACTCGCTTTTTTTTTTTTTTTGTATACATAATTGAAAAACTGAAATGGCGGTTCGATGTATTAGAGATGTCAGTTTTCAAAAAAACATCGATGTATCGATGTACGTATGCACGGAAGCCATTTGCTTCTTTCCCACCCTCAATAGTTGAACCACCGATTACATTTTATATAGCACAAACAATTTGAATGTCCGCTGAGTGTAGACCGGCCAAGAAATCTGAAAAATACTTGCTGAAGAAGTGGTTGCGCATTTTGGCTAGGGCGGTACTGTGGCGAGATAGTGATCGCTGCTCTCCACCTATTCCTCGTCTCTGCAGCTGCCACAAAAGTCGTTCGTTGAGTATCCCAACCTTTTATCATGCGTACCCATTCGGCAGTGCCCGATGATTAGCCCGACTACTAATATGAGAGGAGAGCTGTCAAGCCGAGTGAGTGGTGACAGGCGGGTGCCCTTCTATTGCATTTTGCAATAAATAAAATCTACAAAAAAAACCGAAGTCCCGTGGATCTATAAAAAAAAAATTTTCCCTCACACGAATATTCCAGCGATATTTTGGGAGGACTAAGAAAAGAATAAAGTTTGGTAATTAAATTTTTAGAAAAAGTTTAAGTTTTTCCCTTAAACATTTCAAATTCCAGCGCCCAATTTTCTATGTAGTTGTGAATCCCTGCCTAATACTTGATCAATTCGTATGTTTACCCTAATCTGTTCTCTAAGGCGTATAACAGTAACTACGACTAAATGCTAACTTTTCATTAACAGTACCCAATTTCTACGCTCACAATCCCTATCGTCCATACGCAGCAATCAATTGTCTTTAAAGTACTGATCTCTGTGGTTAACTGAAATATTTCAAACCCGCGATCAATAAAAATTTCTCTATGAATAATTCCGAGTCGAGTACAGCAATATGCGCTGCTCTACCGATGAGCGTATTTGCTGTATGCGGAAGCGCATGATGAACATCGTAACGGGCTAAATTCAATTCGGTGCGTGCTAATATTGGTGCGATTATGTTATGAATCATTTCCCTGCAAAAAAAAAAAAACAAAAAAGAATAACTGATTATTTCCATTATCTAAATACATAAAATCCAATATATAAAAATTTTGCTTGCCTGTAAACCGTTCCCAAATTGGAATTATCGCGTATAGCCGCCTTGCAGAGCTCTAAACGCGCCGAATGCGCTGGCACATAGCGATCTTGACTGGAACCGCAGAGCAGTATATTCTTAAAGTGATGCAGCGTGCTGCGCTGGCTCAGCCGATAGAGAAACGAGCAACGCAGATCCGCTGTATCGCGCATGCAAAGCTGTAGGAGAGAGCCGGATTTCTTCCATTTCTGCATGAACCACATGCCTATAAATATATTATAAATATTCATATTGAATAATTGAACAGCCGCTGAGCCGACTAATTTCTTAAGCTTGCTAAAACACTTCAATTTTCTACAATTATTCCGCTCATTAACTTACCCATATTGACCAGCCCGCTTGTGTTGTAGAGTGTGCCCAAATGCGGCCCAGATAGCGATAGGAATGTATGTAGGCGCGGCAGTAGCGGGCGCATTTGTGAGCGTGCCAAGGCGCTACGCACAATGATTGTACCCAAGGAGTGAGCGACAAATGAAATGCGCGTCGGATTTAGACCACACGTCTCGATATGATACAGTATTTCAGCGACAAGTCTGCAAGATGAGTTTGTAATTTCGCAGCTACATAGCAGAAGAGTCTTACCTCTACTACACTTACCTATCGGTCATTGTTTCGAAATCGGAGAATGTATCGCCTTGATTGCGTTCCGACATTAGAAATTCCAAATTAGCGCCCGGTAGCCCTAACTCCAGGTAGGTGCGTACCAATCGCAAATCGGCTGCGTTTCCATCCAATCCGTGAACACAGATAATTAAATGCATACCGTTGGGCGAGAAAGCGCGGTACTCGTCGCTAATGCTAAAGTATGGCAGTTCGGACGCCAGCTTAGCAAAGTCCGAATAAATGCTTCCGGTGTATTTGATTTGTTTGCGAAATTCTTCGCGATATTTTTCGAATTCTAAAAGTGAAGTGTTTGTGGCCTCCGGGTTGGTGTAGCCGGCACCGCCGATTTTCGTACGTTTTGTCAACTGCAGTGACCTGTTTGACTTTTGGCTATCGGTGCGCGCCACTGGCATCTGGTTTTGTGTGGTGCTGGTGTTTTCTTTATCCTCATCTTCGGTGCAATCGACGGAGTGAGAGCGCTGC